TAAAAGCCAAAGTATAAAGAGAGAAAACACCTGGAAAGAATAATTATTTACCGCTACACTCGAAGCAGTATCCTGGCACACACTGGAATGGTAAATGGACTTGAGCTTATATAGCGCTTTTCTAGTCTTCCGACTACTCAAAGCGCTTTTACACCGCATGTCACACCCACCCATTCAAAAGCTTTCACACACTGATGGTAGTGATCGCTATGTAGTATCATCCATCAGAAGCAATTTATCCCATTCAAACACTGCCACGATGCAGCGGGAGCAATAGGGGGTTAAGTGTCTTGGCCAAGGACACATCGGACATGTTGCCCAGTTGGGGATCGAACCCTTGACCTTCCGGTTGAGAGGTGACAACTCTACCAACTGAGCCACAGCTGAGCCACTTTCCTATTTACCATTTATTCTGGCCCCTTCATAACTTTGCTTGACAGATATTCAGTTTTGATATTTCTCCTTTAATGGGACACAACAGTAACAGTGCAGCATTATATCAAAATATCTTCATCAAATCTGCCCTGCATCACTCTGTCTGATTCAAAGGTCTCTGGTTCTTCTCCAATGTGTGGGTGATTTTGTAAACGTTTTCCATACACAGAGCTGTAATAAAACAACATGGCTGTCAGAAACAACAGTTTATGGCAGAGAGGTCTCAGGGTCTCCTAATGAGGAATTGACAGCCTGAGTTTTGCCCTCCATCCCCATCACAGAGTCACAGCGTTGGCAGAGACAGACGAGGAGCCCGTCTAGCCATGATGGATGGCCGCTCTGATGAAGAGGACACAGCTGGGTCCCACAGCGGCAGGAAATGAGACAGCCGTCAATCCTCCCTCGACAAATCAATCCGAGTATCCACCAATCATATTCAACCAGAGCAGCAACCTGTGCCTGAGGTCAGAGCGTATTACCCGTCTATTTGTGATCCAGCAGACGAGAAGAGGAGCTGTCAAGTGATGGATGAAGGAGTGGTTTTAAACCCCCAACCCTACTGCAACGTATGGAGTAATTCTGGATTAACAACTCTGCCTAATGGGGATTATTCATCATGCGAATGATGACAATAGCCGAGGCTGACGGAGCAAAGGTCTTAAATCTTAGAGAAGTTGGAGGGGAAGATGTTAATAGGAAGGATTAGAGAGTGAACCAGAATCAACATAAAGAGCAGGAACATCAACTCAATGAGGAAAAGTGTAACTAGGACAACAAGCAGAAGTAGATACAGCAAATGATTAATTAAGTAATGGTAATTGGACTTGAGCTTGTATAGCGCTTTTCTAGTCTTCTGACTACTCAAATCGCTGACACACCAAGCAGACGGCAAAGAACTAGTGGACTGTGGCATCGGCGTACAACGCCTTTTGTCTTGGCCAAAAAGTCGCACTAGAACTCACCGCAAAGACTAAAGCCAACGGCCAACCACCACGTACGTTCTGCACATTAGTGAGAGGCAATAACTCTCCATGCCAGCAGGGGGCGATAGTCTGTAATCATCATCCCAAACAGGGGAAACCGGAGGAGGACGAGGAAGAAGGCGCATAAATGAACCGTTGTTGTGATACGATAAGACAATTTTATCATCGCTGTCGCTCAACACTTGTAATATAGGTACTTCTAATGGAGAATAATGTCTGATAAAAAGTTGAAAATGGTACTGGCAGCCCTTGGTCTTTTATTAATGGAACAAGTATAGAGGAGGCGCTTCTGTATTTCTTCTCGTGCACTGGCTCTCCTGTTTCGCTTAGCTGAACAGCCAAATTAGAGAGATTCCTACCCCCAACTGCGCTGGCGATGGCTCACAGCGATTCAACATATGGAATCGGAAAAAAAAAAGGCCAACTGGTGCGGACAGGTAGCGACAGAGCCACAAAAACTAGGGCGACGACTGCTCACCAACAGGCTGACGGTCTCCTTGGTGTGTCAGAACCTTTACACCACATGTCACACCTACTCATTCACACCCATCCAAACACTGATGGCAGAGGTTCCTATGTAAAATGTCCATCAGTATTAACTAATCCCATTCATACACATTTATACACCGCTGACAAAGCAGTGGGAGCAACTTGGCCACATGTCCATCTTGCCCAAGGACACATTGGATATGTGGCTGCAGGGGCTGGGGATCGAACCCCAAACCTTCCGTTTGAGAGGCGACTGACTCTACCAACTGAGTCACAGCTGATTAAGTATTAAGAGTTCTAAAGACTTCTGCTCGTATTTCACTCAATCACTGTGATCATCATTTCACTCAGTGGGTTTTCATTCTTCTAATCTGTTTCTGTTTTATTGCATTTAATATTTAAGAAAGCTCAATCACAATCATTTCTTTGTCATTGTTCATCATTGATAAGCAATAATGAATTTGTCGCTTCAAGAGAAGTTAAGAAGTTAAGTTGTTTCTCAGGTGACAACACCCATGCCCGCTGACTGTGTGCCTGCACAGAGACCAAATCTGATTGGCCATCCCAGGTGCCACCCCAAAAATCCTAAACTCTGTGTCATGGCTATTAGCCCTGTCAAAGGCGTTGAAACCAATTATTTTGTGTTATAAAGTAGATGTTATTGGTGAAGTTAGAAAGGGTAAACAATTGGTATTTTGTGCAGCTACCCCTTCATAAGTAAGTGGCACAGTTTGGCCACCCCATTCAAAAAATTCTGGACACGCCCCTGTTCATATGAATTAAAATAACAAACAGAGAAGCAGAAACAGTGCACACTGAATCTCCATTACTTGTGTTAATTTGAATACTGGTCGCAGTCCCTCCATCAGTGAAATTAAACACATTTTAAACAGTGTCAAATAAAAATGTAAACATAAAAAAGCTTATCTTAAGATAAAAAGAGTTAATTTGTAGTTCTGTTTTGCATCAGTCCAAAAGTTTTGTTTCAGCTGTGAATCAATTATTTGACATAAAGAAACATCAAAGCAGAATCCTCCATCTACCACGCCTTTTCTTGCTCTCAGCAACCAAACTACCATCGATCGCTCCTCTCGAACTCTGTTCCTGTTTCAGCACGACGGGCAGAAAGTCACTGATAAACACACATTCTTCTTCCCACTACATCTGTTTAATTATTTAACCTATTGCATAATCGTTTCCCTGGGACAACACAAGCCTGAGTTTATGCCAATGGCAGAGCGCTGTGATTTGTTTCATGCTAGCAGTCAGATTGCTGTGTTGTGGTTCTAATGGGAGTTGTGGCTGTGTGAGTCATCCTCCGCAGGCTCTTATGCTCTCCTCTAATCATCCCCGAGAGGAAGGGAGGGAGGGGAAGGAGCAGTGAGGAAGAGCGGTGCTGTGTCTCAGGAAACGTGCACAGACCACGCTGCGTGCTGTCACAGACTGTTTGAACTTCTCGATCTGGGCAGGTAAAATAAATATATGACAATTATTTATTAAAATGTCTCTTTTTGGCTGTAAGATGCTGCTCAAGAAACTGGAAAATGAAATCTACGCTTTTGTGTCTGCGTGTCTGATGAAAATGTGTCTCCTTAGGATATCTCATCCATTAAAGGTCACATATTATACTCCTTTACAACCAGTTTAAATAAGTCTCAGAGCTCCCCAAAACATATCTGTGAAGTTTCTTGTTCTAAATCCACTCTGATCCTGTATTTGATCATGTCTATAAACCCCTCTATTTCAGCCCTGTTCAGAACAGGCTGTTTCTGTGTCTGTAGCTTTAAATGTAAATGAGCTATGTCTGACCACGCCCCCTCTCTGGAAGATGCTTGGGTGGTTGGGCTTTCGTACACCATTCCCTATTGTTTAAGTTGTAAAGGCAGACTTATAGGGCAGAAGAAACACCTAGCTGTGGGAGTGTCAACCACCTGGGGGAGGGGTTGCTGCCCTTTGTGATGTCATGAAGGGAAAATCTCTTGAGCACACATTTTCTGAAAAGTGGAGCAGGTAAAAGACAGAGAGGATGGACTTTTTTCATAATTGGGGGGGTTTGTAGACAGACTAGAGACACATATTAGTGTTAGAAAAACACGGTAAAGTGAATCTAGCATAACATGTGACCTTTAAACTGATCATTTAAGTTGGAGATTTATTAAGAACAATTTTATTACAGTGATCACTTAATAAAACTTAATTATTTTCTCTAAAGGAAACAAAGATACTGAATACATCTAGATTGACATAACATATAAAAACCTGCATTTCAATCATATAAAATGTCATCCTGTGTGGATAGATGCTGTGCCCTCATCTTTCTTTTACTAGATGGATGATCTGCTAAAATCTAAAGTCTTAATTGTACCTGAAGCAAACTGGTAGAATAAAGAGAAGGGAGACACGGGTCAGATAAAACTCATCAATAACAGTATGTGAATGTAGTTTCTTTACATCTTATATTAGCTGAGGATCTAGACTGCCCTCAGAGAACATCGTCAGGTAAAAATGAATGAAAGGACGGTACTAATTCTGAGCAAAACCGGGTCCTGACTAGGTTAACTTTGCAAAGAAAGTTAGCGTGCTGAGATAGCAGCAAATGAGAGCCAACTTTGTGACGCTTAAAAAACACTGATTTTTAGACTCAACCACACTCAAAGGACCCGATTTACCCTTTAATCATACTTCAACACTTCAGCTCTTTCGCATTTTAATAGTCCTTTTTGTGTTTTTGCAGCATTTAGACTGAAAGCTAATGCTGCTTCTCAGTAAACTAAATGGATATAACCGCCATGACTTCCACCGACATATTAAAAAGAATAATACTGATAATTTAATTTAGGGCTGCACATGGTTTATACTTAGATAATGCAAAAACACTTTGAGACATCAATAATAAATAAAGAGTTATTATTGAAAGCCACAGGATAGGGGGTCCCTATGATCGACCCCTGCTTTAAACACTGGTAGATAGCTTTAAAACCCCAAAAATGGTGTTAAAGAACAACCTCTAAAATTCCACAACAGTAAACTCCACCCAGCTGGTTCGTTAGAAACATGAGGATACCATGTTTAGTTTGGTGTAAGTGGACTCACGTTATAGAGGATGTCCACCCATCCTTCCATGGTGATGCACTGGAACACTGTGAGAACAGCGAACAGGATGTTGTCAAAGTTGGTGATGCCAAAGCTGGGTCCGATCCAGTACTCCTTACAGACGGTGCCGTTAGCGCAGGTCCTGGCCGGGGCCTCCAGACCACAGGGGAAATCAGCTGCCTGCTCACCTACAGCCACAAACACACACAGACTCACACAGTCACACACATTCACAAACTCCTATTTTTTAGAGAGGGTTGGGGATGTGTTCTGTTAAAGTTCCTCTTGTTCTAAGATGCTGAAATAACATGCTATCTTATGTATGACACATGATACACAGGATTACATGATATGAATGTATTTAACATAATTTCCTGTTTTATTCAGAATGACTTACAATAAGAGTTCAGTTCAGACTGGCCCTTTAATGATGACACAAACCAGTGACTGTGATCATGGACACATTTATATCACAGAGAGAAACATATTGGATTCACATTTTACAAACTAAAAGGTTGAATGTAGAATTGTTTTTGTGTTATTTTTATAATGAATTATTACCAGAGACAACAATATATGAAGTTCCCATAGGTATTTATTCAGTACACTCATTTTTTTCAATCATTCAGTTATCTCTGATAACGATTTCAGCGAGTTGATAAAGTGGAAACACTTCTTCACAATAGTACAATTTTTATATTGTTCATCTGATTTTGTCTTGACAGGAAGCTCATATTTACTCGGCTCTCTGGAGAGGGTTTAAACTACAGCACATTTTTCAGCTCTCGATTCCATTTTTTAAGGCTTTATGTCGGATATTTCTGGAGGTTTTCACATATTTCCATCAGCGCCTCTGTTTTTGTGTCTTTACAGTTCTTCATGATATGATATATACAGTAAGTCTCCTTCATGAATATGTTCTGCTCTGAGGTGTTTTTCTTCCTGTGTAGTTTGATCCCTCTTTATTACGTGTACACACTGTTCACTGAGGTTTTGACAGATTTCAGTATAGTCAATGTGTATCGGTTGAGATCATTTCCTATGTGAAGCTGGGACATCATGCTGTTGAATTTCTGTATTTTCTATGATTCCTGTACTTATATTTCTGTGCATTTTTACTCATTGGTCTTTAAAATATAGCTCTAATAATTTTCTGTCATTTTACCAGTTTTGGGCTTCCTGTATTCATATATTCAGTTTGAGATACTTCATTGTTTATGATTACTGCGGTTGAACTTCCCTCATTTAAACATATCTGCAGGGTGATCTTTTGAGATGGATTCTAGTATGTCATTTATTTTTCTCTTTCCTGATCGCTGATTGAACTTTTACCAAAAACCATTTACACTAAAAGCTGATGACAAACAACTGTTACAAGTTTTTGTCATCACTAACAGATAAGGGGTCTATTTACGTTTAAGAGTTTAGTTTGTTTGCTGTTATCTAGAATAAATTGTAAACTTCAAAACAAAGTTTATTATGTACAGTGATTATAAAGCATTTTGAGTTAAATTAAACTGCAGAACATTTCTCACTTATTTTTGCACTTTATGCATCTTTCTCCTGTTTATCTGTGTTTACACAAACACATCTTTTCCACCAAGTTTCTGCCCTTCTACCTGTATCTCCTGTTCATTTTCCTGTGTTATTTATTACAATGTGGTTTTACCTTTTCCATCTCAGTGTTTGATCTTTTGCAGATTACTTTCCGGGTTTCAGTTCACCTTTAAACACCAATCCCAGATGTGTTTAAGAGTGCGGACACACTGCAGACATGCGCTGCCCAGCTCCACTGCTCACTTGTTGTCATGAATTGAGGGGTCTTTAAGAAACAAACTGCACTCCATAAGGTGTATTTACTAAACAGCTTACCAGTAATGTCTTTGTAGACATACCCATTGTAAGATGTTTTATCTTTTGTTGTTCAGCAGGTGATTGACATACTGCATCACAGAGATATTCTGAGTATGTGGACAGACTCATGTTTTTATCTTTAGGGATTTGTATCTGATATCTATATGTGTAAGTCAGTTATGTGATTTTCTGTTTGCATGTCTACCACTGGATTTCATTTCAGTTAAATCAAATTTCGGTTTTAAACATACAGTAACTCACCTCCTATACCGCATTAGAGCTTTATCATTTCCTACAAACTACAGCTGCACAATGAAACACAATAGTAGGCAGGATGGAGGATACGGTTTTACTGCTAAATAAAACATTCACTGCATCCCAGCTTCCACACACAGAGTCCCTGTAGTGTTCTGTGTAGAGGGGAGTGTCGGTGTGGATCTGTCTGGCAGCAAAGTTTGAATAAATTCAGCTTCTCTGCATTTAAATTATTAGAATAAAATGCAGTTTGACTTCTAACAGCATTCATGGTGGGATATACTGTATCTGAAACAATGTGGAGAAAGGTCATTCTGCACACTGATACACTTTAGTTCGATAATGCTGCTCTGTGTTTCGGTCACTCTTAACGCTGCCCTTGTGTCCTGACCCATGAAATAGGATTGATTAAGGTTTTAATCATATTACGGCGAGCTGAACACCCCAGAGCCTGTTTCCCCCTTGTCATCCTCTTACTCACCCGTGTCGATCCTGAAGCAGGTGCGGTGGAACTTGCCCATGTAGAAGTCCAGGCCGATGATGGCAAACATGAGGATGGCGAAGAAGAGCAGCAGGCCGATCTGCAGCAGAGGTACCATGGCTTTCATAATGGACTTCAACACTACTTGAAGACCTGGTGAAGACAAAGAGAAAACACAGATGAGTTAAAGTGTTTCTGTTTTGCCTCTTTTGAAAAAGCTGTTGCCTCACTATCTTTAAAACTACCAGACTCCATTAATCAAAAATCCTGTGACCATTAAAAACACAAAGTCCCACATTAAGACGCACTAACCAAATGATTGAAGCAGAAGTAAATGGTACATATACTTGTGCTTGAATAGTGCTTTTCTAGTCTTCTAAATACTCAAAGCGCTTTTACACAATAGGCCATTCACACACTGATGTCAAAGGCTGTTATTTAAAGAGTCCATCAGTATTAACCAATCCCTTTATACACATTCACTGATGCAGCAGCGGGCGCAACTTGGGGAGCTGGGGATCGAGCCCCTGACCCTCCGGTTGAGAGCAGACAGACACTGATCCACAGCCGCCTCTAGTAGACCAACAGCTCCTATTACTATCATTCTATATTCTACCCTTCCAACTTTATTTGTAAAACCAATAAATCTGCTTTCTGCAGGCGTCTGAGTGTAAGTAGTCAGAATAGATGTGATAAAATGAGAAGTTGACTTACTTGGAATGCCAGAGACCAGTTTGAGTGGTCGTAGTACCCTCACGGCCCGCAGCGTTCGTAGATCAAAATCTGCCCCCACAGTGGCCAGGATCCTGCACACATCAACCACAACAACAACAACAACAAGAGCAGGGGTCAGGTTTGAAGGTTTTTCTGTTTGTTTTAAAATGTCTGCAGGACAGATTGTTATTTAAATGTCATCTTATCAAATCCCTTATAAGGTTGATACAAACTGTAAAGCAACGAGACAATGTTGGTGAAAGTTTTGCATTCCTGTGTTTCTCACAATTTAAACAAAACACAGCACTCACTCTTTTTTTTTTCAGTTCAGCTACACACCAAACTCTTCAGCACACATGAGGGTTGTGTTTTACTTGATTTTAGGTAAAATATGTAACTTATAGGACTGCAGTCAGCTTGGTGTAAGCAGCAGTTTGTCTCACAGACCCTGAAGCCGAGTTGAAAGATGCATTGATGACACTTGGTCCAGTGAAGAGGAGACCTCTGGTAATCATCTTTTATGATGCTTTCACACCGGAGTCCACACCTGTTGTGTGAAGTTCACAGCCTCTGAAGTTTTCTCACATAACTAAGAAAAATTTTCAGATATTCAAATAACAACGTTCAAATTTAGGGTGGTCTTTACAGATGATTTGAATAGATGACTTTTAATGAGGGGAGATGTTTATTAATCCATAAAGTTACCGGGCATCATAATAAAGCTGCACAGTAAGATTGTCAAAATTGCCCATGGAGTGAATGATTAGCCAAAAGAAATGGATTATTGGAAGTTATGAATCTATTTAAATCTATTCTTGATTTTCTACAAAAATCTATTTTCAATCCTTCTCTTCATCCATCCTTTAATCCTCTCCTTGATGACCACTGACTGTGAATACTGCAAACATGTAGTCTGCCCTGCTATCGTTTAGACCCACTGGAGACAGTATATCACAACATATGACACAACAAACACTTATGTTTATGTAATCTGAGAGATCAGTGTGATTACAATCCTGTCCAGACCTCATTGGGGCTGTCAACCCCATTCAGTGTGCATCAATCACAACATGTACCGAAGCAATGCTCCTGTGTTTCTCCTTGTGTTTCTGTGAAAATGTTACAGAAAATTAAAGAAACGAAGCAGTTTAAAATGTGAATCATTCAAAGCACTGTAGAAGTTTTCGCTTAAATTGACTCTTTCTGGCTGCTTCACTGGTAAAAATGCGTGTGTGTGTGTGTGTGTGTGTGTGTGTGTGTGTGTGTGTGTGTGTGTGTGTGTGTGTGTGTGTGTGTGTGTGTGTGTGTGTGTCTGTTCCTCCTGCTCCTACCATCTGCCTGCACCTCACGCATATTCACAGTCTTGTTTTCTACAGGGAGAGGAATATGTAAGGCACACTGACCTTGTGAATTTATATTCATCTTATGTTCAAATAATGTGCCATCGAGCCACAGAAGATCAAAAGAAGAGACGTACAGTCTGCAGGAGTGCAGATGAAAGGAGAGAAGTTGTGGAGAAAGAAAAGGCTCAGACAGAATCTGAGAGAGGGGAAGAATCAGAGTCTCTCATCCGTCTAACGAGGGAGCGCACAGGTGAAGAGTTGTGGTAGAGATGCTGGAGCCATTGCTATCTTTGTAACCCCGATGTCATTTGAAGATTGTTTTATTTACGTTCACAAGCTCTATTCCGACTGACCGTCTGCCCTGGCTGGGACACCAATTATTACACCGCTGTAGAATCAATATGAATGTACAAAGACATAACGACAGTGGAGCACCGATCAAGAAAAAAGTTCAGATTCTTCCTTTAAGTACTTTGGTCATATGGGAACACATTGTTGGAGCTTGCAGCCAGAACATTTTCTTCTTGATATTACAATAACTGGACAAGTGTCATGGTCATGATAAAAGGGAGGAGAAGCTATGTGTACATGGTAATATTGGATGTGTTACATAAAAATGCTGACTGTTAACAGACTTCTATTCATTTTCCTAAAAAGCTGAATTTCCGTTCAAGCCTGATCCTCTTGGAAACACATAATAGCCTTAAAGGGAGTCTCATTATAATCCTTGGGTGCAGTAAAAACGAGTTTCTATTTCCAATCACAACATCTGTTTCTGCGTCTGCCCTGCATTGTCACAGTATAACATTATTTTATAGTCATTCATATATATGTCTGTGTCTTCTAGGTTTTTCAAAGAAGGGCCGTGAGAAAGCGAAAAAGACGTGATAATTATTGAAAGTTAAAAAAAGAAAGCCTTCATCGTCTCACTGCTGATTAATCCAAGTTTAATACCCTCTCTGCTGGACCTCTGCTAATTACACAAGTAAGAGAGACGGATTGAGCAGAGGGAACAGCCAGAGTGTATCTAACCATGTGAAAAATAAATCACCTAACATATCTGTAAGGCACATAATCAAACTGAATCTCTACAGCAGATGTGTTTTTACACACGCAACAAAATCCTGTCAGCTTCTGACAGAGTGTGATTTTTTTTTAATTGAATTTTATTTAACAGACTTTATACGAAAATTCTGGTTTTACACTCTGTTATTGAGAGTCCTGCTTTTCACACACAAAGGCCCGAATTGCACACACATGGACAAACAGGAGCATTAATGGGGTGATGTCAGAGTGGGGCTGCACAGGGAGCACACAGGGAGTGCCTTGCTCAAGGGCAGGGCGGCTGTACTCAGGAAGTGAACAGGCCCTTCTCAGCTACAAAACCAACTTCCGTACTTCTGGTCCACACCAGGACTTGAACTGGTGTTCTGCCGCTCCCATTCCAAGTCCCTACAGACTGAGCTACTGTCACAAATGAACAAGTTTGATCTCTAAATGAGTGGAAATAAATCCTCCAACTTCAAAATGAATGACAGAGATTTAACTGGATTTTCTCAAGTAGAAATACAAATGTGATATGATCATTTAAAATTCAGAATTAAATCAGAGAAAACCATTTTGCTCATTCACAAGGAACAATTTGTTTTATACTCTGTTAATAAAGAGTGGAAGCAGATCTGCTGACGAGGTTACTGTACACATGACAGACTAGAGGACGATTCATTTTACACAATTCTAAAACGATTCAAAACATCCTGAAATGGATTTTTCAAAACGTACTTTTATTGGGTATAATTTAATTTAACAGCCAGTTTTAGCACAACTGAACCCACACCTTCCAGTACACCGCGTGTGTCGGCCCTGGCTCGTCCATCGTGCTTGCTAACTTTAGCTAACTCTCAGTGTCGGTAATGTATGGCTGTGTCCAACATACTAATGCACTGCCTGTCTCTGGACAATGCACATGAAATATATCCAGAAATAAGCAGCCCTAACAAATAGGAATTGTATTGTGAATCAGGAAGATGTTTGAATTGAGAATTGATTTTGAATTGAATGGTGACCCCAGAATCAAAATAACAGACATGACTCTGCTTATAAATGTGTTCATCCTAAAAGCCATTACAAATATGTTGGGCAACTCATTTTGAAAGTAAAGTATCAATTTGACTGTGTTTATTCAGTGTATTACAGAATTTGACATTCACCATGTCCAAAATGTTTGCCTACACCGCCAGCTCTTAGCAACATTTCCGTAACACAAACATCCGGATTTCTTAGCGCGAGAGTGCCTGGGCAACTTTAGCAGAAAAACTCATAATGCAGCTGGACTGAATCTTGTTTTTCTGTTCCTGCTTTCATTGTTTTTGGACTTTAAGAACTCAAGAATTCTTCTATTCTTTTCAGCTTCAGTGATTAGCTCTGCAGCTACAGCTGACCCAGAATCTCATACATTTGAAGAAATCACAGATAAGATGAACTTTATTTCATTCTGTTTGAAATTTAAATAATATAAAGAGTGTAATGTTTGACTGGCACAATGAAGGGAGGAAGGGAGCCAGAGGAAGAGCATGTAAAGCAGAGTCATGGACGATGAAATACAATAAATGAACTGACATTGACTGTGACAAGCTACATCACCTGTGAATAATTGATTATTCCCAGGAAGACGATCACATTGTACCCAAATGTTAAGCCCTGGGTCGACAAACCTCTCAAGACAGTTCTGACTCTGAGTCAGAGAAAGCTTTACGTAGGGTGACACTCATCGATACAGAGTTGCTCAAGATTTGGTGAAAAAATAAAAAAGCTGGCAAAAATGTGATTGAAAGACGAGGTAGAAGACCACCTTAAGAGTGATCATTCTCGCTGTGCATGAGGGGGAGTTATATGGCAGATACCCAGGACAAAAAAGGAGATGTAAAACCTAAGCCTGACTGTGTTCTAGCAGAGGAATTAGACCAGCATTCTTTGAGATTTGATTTACACGATTTTACTGATGAACTGGCAGAATTAAGGCTTCTTCAGACGGCAGTCAGATACACATTGATAAACTGTCTGAGATAATGATTGAACAAACAAATGTCAGGAAAGGTCATGGGCCTGATTAAATCAGCGGCTGACTACAGCGGCTAGAAAACAGAAGTTCCTGCATTGTGAGAAGAATCCACTGTTGCCCCAGTAGCCAAGGCTAAACCCCCAAAATGTTTTGAATATTTATCTTGAACCCCGCAGCCGCAGGGCAAAAAGAGTTTAGGAAAGTGGAGGACACCAGTAACCACCCTGTATAGAGCTGCAGCACAGGTTAGTTCATTATTCATCTCTTTAAAACGATGCATGTTTAATTCACTTGACAACCGCAGTGAAACTGAGGTATTAAGATAAACTGCAAGATCTGGGCACTTGGGACATTCATACAGCGGATGGGACACTATTTCAATCACTAAAAAGTCCTCGTCAGAATGTCACTTTGGTGATGTTTACTTGTATTTACTGTCCCAACTTCCCTTTACACCACTGCCAGGATGAAAGCCTAGTGCGGACAGCTTGATGTATTTTGGATGTGGTTGGGTCAATGATGGAAAGTCAAGGACAATAAATTCTTCATCATCAAACATAGCTGAGTGCTAATGAGCTAACACTAGCTAGTTACGATAGTATCAGGATCACTGTCAGCTAGTGTTGTAGTTAAGACCACACTAACCGAGATCAAGACATACCTGAGACCAGAGTGCCAAGACCAAGGC